TACGTCTGAACACGCATTTTTTCTTGGGTGGGTGGCGAGGGCCCTCGAGGAGCATCTTGGTTCATCGGGCAAGAAGAACACACACACACACACCCGCGCGCGCACACACACAAACACACACACACACAAACACACACACACACACACACACACCCACACCCACACCCACACACACGCACGCACGCACACACGCACGCACGCACGCACGCACGCACGCACGCACGCACGCACGCACGCACACACACACACACACACATACACACACGCGCGCACACACACGCACAGACACACACACACACATACACACACACGCACACACACACACACACACACACACACGCACTCACGCACGCACGCACGCACGCACGCACGCGCGTGCACGCGCGCGCACGAAACCGAACAATAGACTGAGAATGGACGTCCGAGCGATGGCAAGGAGAGAGGGGAGCGCAGTCAGGGGGGGGAGAAGGCGGCGACAAGCGCAGGGGGGCGGATAGCTCACCCCGTGGCCCGGCGCAGCCTTTTGTCACATCTCGCGGCAGGGCTCGAGGCCTCACCAGGCGTCTTCATCTCTTGGGGGCGCGCGATGCCCTCCCCCAGCCCCGTTCCTTCCCCCTGGCGAAGAAGAGATATCGGCATCCACAGAAACGTTCGGGGGTCCGCGGGAATCGTCCGGATCAGCGCTGGGCCCCCCCCCCCATGGCGGCGCCGCCCCTCCAAGACATCCGCGCGGACTTCACACAGCCAAGTATGAGTATACTTGTGTCCCTCCTGCTCCTGCTTCCTGCTCCTGCTCGCCCACCTCGCGAGAGGATCCCCTCGTCTTCCCTCCCCGTCCCAACTTTGTGCCCCTCCCTTTGGCCTCCCTCGGCCCCCCCCGCCCTGCAGTCCCACCTGGCTCACCCCCGCCTCCTTCCCCCTCCCCCCCCCTCGCATTGTTCCTCTTGATCCTCCTCGGCAGAGATCCCCCTCGCCAGCCACGCTGGGCTCGAATCGACGGGCTTGCCGACACAGCCCTGGGCATGGTCGATCGCTCCTCTCCCCCCTTCAGTTCACACCTCATCCTGCCTCGCTCGCCCTCCCCCTGATTCGCCCCTCCAGTTATCTACCGCATCTCTGCCCGATAGCTGTTACTTCGGGTATTCCTCGGGCGCGGGTCTGACAGAGGAGGCCAGAGGGGAAGAGATGTGCTCCTCCCAGGCGGCATGCAAGAGTGGGGCCCAGTCCGACGGGGACGGCCTTCTGAGAAGTCGGCGGTGGGGTGTCCAAGGACGGACGGGCCCACTTCTGTAGCCATTTTCGTTCAGGCCAGTTCGGCTGAATGCATGTTGACGTCGGCCCGTGAAACTTGGTCGGGTTCACTTGCCGTCTCAAATTTGGACGTAGTTGGATTGTGTCGTCGTTGTTTGTCATGCTTGCGGAGAAAGCTGTTTCAGATTTGTGTTTAGTTTTACAGCGTCATAAGGTCGAACATCAGGGATGGAGAAACGTATTGAACCCGCATACAACCAATCGGAAAGACAAATTGGTTGACAACATCGAGCATTATGCAGCATGTTCGACCGTCTCATTCAATAGTGAAGGACGCTTCATTTGCACAATTTGCTTACCAGACTCATATGCTCCTCGTGATGGCTTGCCCACGCAAGGCCTTTCAAACGCATTTCCATCGAAACGAGCAGCCTTAGGCGATGCATGCTTCAAGTGCTTGGTTGATCTACTCACCCGCGATCCCGATAAGGTGATTTTGAAACCCAGTGTGTTCAAATTTGGCGAACAGTCAGTGCGCGAGATATTAAAGGCAGCTCGCGATGCACTCCAATCCTCTAGAGGAGCTTCGGCAAGCAGTTGCCAGATGCAAGTTGATGACGTTGTGACTGGCAAGTACAGCGGTGTGATGGTGAGGGACCGCTCACGTTCTCCAAAGCCTGATCATGCAGCACAGAGGGCGGTGATCATAGAAGGCTTTCGGGACAAAGCCACTGGCTCGTCCGTTCTGAACGACGAAGACGGTTGGGACAGATTGAGAGCAGATCTCGCACATTTGAGGAACGGGATGAAGGCAGAAGTGGACTCGGACGATGATCTGCCCCGCCAGGCATGCGATGAATTCAACCATATAAGAATAGTCGAGAACATCGTTGAAAATGTGTGGTCGCTGCAGGAGTCAATCTCGGGTACTTTTAAGGACGGCAGTCGTCTGGAACAGCTGGTTAAGGAGTTGAAAGACGGGAAAGTTGACCCGATGACCGACGATTTTTTGGTTCTGAATGTTGCTTCAGCTAAAGTTCGATGCCGACCAGGATCGCAACGATCAGAGACAGTTTCGCGCTTCTACACTTTTGATCATCGGCGTTTGTGGTGCATGGTTCAGGCTGGTTGCCGACGGATTCGCTTACGGATCAAGCCTGGCTTCAGTGGGAAGGCATTCAACGAGTTCGCCAGCAAAGCAGAAGGCCTCGGGCGGAGAATCACAGATGTTCGCGTAAGGTACAGATAGTTAGCGGTAGTGAGCGAAATATGAGGCATTCCAAACAGGGCCTTGCCTTCGAATATCGAAGGAGTTGTCATCTCTTCCTCGGCTCGGCGGAAGGTCGGCGGAAGTAAAACGAGGGCGCCTCCGCCCTCTCAAGCTGGCGGAAGCTGGCGAAAGGGCGGCGGAAGGCGGCGGAAGTAGAAGATGCGCGCCCAAGAGATGAAAAGGTTTCCGAAATCCGGCATGTAGACGGTGTCGCCGCAGAGCGGTGCGGTTTGGATGTTGGTTTCTGCGGCAGCCCGTTCCCGATGCGGGCAGTACTTGCACGGAGAGATCCCTTCCAAGATTCAAGCAGTGGCGAAGCGTCTTGGCTTGCATATAGGCCCACCCAAGAGTGGTCTAAGAACCTTTTGGGGTCTGCACGGAATGTTCTTAGAACATGTTTGGCTCAGACTGTCTTGTTCTAGCACCTCGGGTCTATGTTCTAAGAACGTTGTTTTTGTTGTTCGAACGTTTTGGGGTTCTAAAAACATTTCGTGGTACAGGCGGCCTGGATGAGTAGGTCGACCCTGCCAGATGAAGGGTACCTTCGAGTCCTGTGTCTCACGACCCATGCCTCCTGCATTTCTGTGGCAACGTGGCCCTCGGAAAGGGTCTCGTGTCCCTTCGCGTGCCCTCTCCAAAATCAAGTCCGACCGCAGGCCCATATAGGAATGCCGGGACGGTCGGCCCCTGCTCCCGAAGGGCAGGCGCGCACGGTCCCGACGGACCGGAGGCCCGTCCGCCCGAGGCAGGGCCCGAGCGCGGCGTGCCCCGGATCTCTCGCTCGAGGCCTTCGGCTCGAGGCGCTGGACGCTTCGGGAGGGTTCAAGACACACACAGAGACACGGACACGGGTCATCGTCGATCCCCAGGAAGAGATGGGAAAACGTGGGAAGTGGGGGGGAAGACGAAGATCCAGAAAGCATGAGAACACAAGATTGGGGATCCTGGTGTGTGTGTGTGTCTGTCTGTCTGTCTGTCTGTCTGTCTGTCTGTCTGTCTGTCTGTCTGTCTGTTTGTTTGCGTGTCCCAGGGCCCCTTCAGCGTTGCCGTTGGTTCCCAGAGGGTTTCCTGCGTCGGGGTGCTTTCCAGCAGCTGCGCCTCGCCGAGGGCGGTCCTTGCGGGTGGGCTCGTCCCCGAACGGCCGGCGGAGATCCGAGCTGCGACCGCAAAGCCAGATATCCCCAAGTCGTGGCTGCGAGCTGCGGCTGCGGCTCGCGGCGCGCCCGGGGGCGCCGGATTAATTAGTTGCACGTTCCCCCCCTCCCCTTCCCTCCCCCTCCTTCTCCTCCCCCATTGCCACAGGGCGCTCCGAGGATGGCAAAAAAAATGCGAAGTCACGATTGGAAGTCTTGCCCATCTTCGGCCTCATGGGACCCCCACAGGGCCCCAAGGGCCGTCCACGGGCGATTCCCGGGAGGAGAGGCCGGTCCTCTAGTGGAAGGGTGCAGACCTCCAGGGTTCCGCGCGAAAGACGGCTCACAGCGTCGGAGATTCGGGTGGTAGATTCTATCGCCATGGGGGGAAGCGGGTCCTGAGGGAAACGGGTCCTGAGGTTTCTCGCCGCCTTCGGGCTCTCGGGGCCCTCCATGGGCCTCGGGGCTGTCGGAACACGACTCGGGATGAAGACCTCGTTTTGGGGGAAGGCCCCGTGGCCCAGGACCCGATGCGGCTCGATGTGGGGCCCGGGTTTCTCCACGCCGACGTCGCCGATGCATCGCCGGTGCCTCGCCGATGCATCGGCGATGCATCGGCGAAGTCGGCGCGATGCTCCGAGCCCGTCGGCTTGGACCCCACTTGGGAGCGCGCTTTCGCTTGCCGTTCCGGCGTTCGGGGTCCGCCTGGGGGGTGTGCGAGGGCCAGCGGGGCACGGGCGCGGCGGAGGCCGTGCTGGGACAAAAAGAAGCGGTCGAGAGATCGAGGGCCCACGCCGTGGAGCAAAGGCAAGATTTTTGCTGTCTGTGCAGGGCCGCCTCGTCCGGGGGGCGAGGGGTGTGCTTCTGGCCCGCGGGGCCACCTCCTCTCCGAGCACCGAATGTCAATGATTGTACGATCTGTCCTCGCCGATGACCCGGCCTGTAAGGCTGAAGCTGAAACACATGGGGCACCGCCACTTGCAGTGCGCGCGTGCGGGCCGCACGGATCGAGGGGTTGTGTCCTGAAGGGACTCCATCTGCGAATGGTGCCCGAGGTCCTCATGGCGGTGAATTCGTTGAATCGTTGCGTCGGTGTTGGGAACTTGCCCTGCCCCGTTCGCCCACGCTACCGGACATCCGCACATCGTGCAGATGTTTGAGTATTGTGTGCCATGGTGTGCGCGCTCGTGCCTACCTCTTCCCCAGCCGATATCTCACACGCATCGAGCAGGCCGTTCCCGAGACAGTTGGACTCATCTCGATTCTAATCTTCCGAGTCCTCGATGTTATTATGTTTATGTTCGTGTTCATGTTCTTCATCCGTGGCGCCTTCGCCTTTGCCCACCCCTTCCCCGCCTCCTCCGGTTTCCGTTTTCCCTGATCTTCCTCGTTCCTTCTCTTCCTCCCACCCCTCGTCGCCGCCGTGGACCCCCCGTTTCGGCTGCTCTTCCTCCTTCTTGTTATGCCCGCAGGTCACGTTCACCCCCCAGGAGGAGCAGCCGTTCAACTTCAACGTGGCCTGCAACGTGAAGCGGAAGAAGGACCACGCCTGCCCACACTCGCTGTATGACCACTCGTGAGCCCGAACCCCGCGGGTCGCGTCGACGCGTGGGCATCGGACAACCCCTGTTGGGACCAGCCTGGCTGTCGGCGCCCTCCCAGCTCCGAATCCCCTGTCGGTGTTCTCTGGGAGCCTGGCCTGCCCGTGATGCTGTGGCCTCTGCTCCCCTCCCCTGGGCGGCAAGGGGGAAGTCGTTCGGACCGAGGCGATAAGGTCGAGGGTATCTGTCCGGGGAGGGTGCACCCTGGTGCTCCTCTTGTGCTTTGCTGGGTGGGTGTCCTCGTGCCTCCTGGGGAGGGTGCCCTTGGATGCCCTGTGTGCTCTGGCCGACGGAGGGCCTCAAGTTCCTGGAAGGGTGCTCCTCTTGTTCTTTGCTGGGTGTCCTCGTGCCTCCTGGGGAGGGTGCCCTTGGATGCCCTGTGTGCTCTGGCCGACGGAGGGCCTCAAGTTCCTGGAAGGGTGCTCTTCTTGTGCTTTGCTGGGTGTCCTTGTGCATCCTGGGGAGGGTGCCCTTGGATGCCCTGTGTGCTCTGGCCGGCGAAGGGCCTCGAGTTCCTGGAGGGGTGCTCTCCTGGCCCAGGTCGACGACGGCGCGGCGCGACCGGGCATGCGAAGGCCCCCCGAGGACGCAGCGCGGTGCAGGACCGGAGGATCGAGGGCCGCTCGAGGATCGAGGGCCGGCAGGGGATGGAGGCTCCTCGCGGGGACCAGTGGGGACTGGCAGGACCCGAGGAGGATCGAGGGTCGCTCGAGGATCGAGGGTCGCTCGAGGATCGAGGATCGAGATCGACCCCGGTCGGGCCCATGCTGCAGCCCCCCGCGCCCCCCCCTTGAGAGACTGCTTCGCTGTCCCAGGTCCGGCTGCCGCTCGCGGTGCGCGCGCTTGCCCGGCCGAGCGCCCGCCCCTCGGCCATTGGCATCGCTCGGACGTGTGCCCCTTTTTCTCGGCGGGGACTATTTATCAGGAGGGGAAGAAACACACAGACACAATTAATTTGCGATTTCCCAGAAAATATGGGAATATATGGGAAGTGGGGGGGAAGACAAAAACCCAGAAAATATGGGAACATATGGGGAATATTTTTATTTCAATTTAGGAGCGTCCTGCAGCCCTCGTCAAAATGAACCTCAAAAATGTCTGGCGAGGTTGAACTGCTTGTCGGAAGATCTGGGGCCGAGTATCGACGAGTGCGGGGTGCTTGCATGCGCCGCCCCTCCAACGTCGGTCGACGTCAAGCTTTCGAGTCAGCTTCGGTCACGCTATCTTTGCCCTCGCCCCGACATTGAAGGGGCGGCATGTCGACATTAAGGGGCGCGCCGAAATCGAAATGACGTGCCAGCAACTGCTGAGGTTAATTTTGACGAGGGTAGTGGATCATCCTGCGAGAGAAGCGCGCACGACACCGAACAAACAGCACGGGGAGTGGACGTCCGAGCGGTGGCCCCTCGGCGGGACGCCTGTGGCTGTCCTCGGGGCCCGGAGCCGCAGCCGCTCTCCTCTGGGCGGCGCTTCCAGCGCTTGCAGCGCCCCCCCCCCCCCGACCCCGACCCAGAGGGCCCCTCGTTGTCACCACAGACGCGCCCACGGCGATGTAGGCAACGGCGATCTGCACACTCGTTCGTAATTCTTCGAGGGTTCCTTGATTTTGTGGGGGGGCAGTATCCTTTCATTTCGAATTGTTCTGTCCTGGGCCTCTTCCTGGCCACTAGGGGGCCAAGAACAATCAGAAACGAGCACAACTAGACATGAGCACGATTAGAAATGAACGACGTGTAGGTTCCGACGCTGTAGGTGGGACTGGTTCGTGGCCACACCGATTGCAGGGCATCGTGTGGCTCATGCTTTCCTACACTTCGCTTCGCCGTTCTCGCTCGATACATATTCGCACGTTTGAGATGTAAGTATGGTTCGTGATTTCCTGCAATTTGTTCTGTGCGAGCTGGGTGTCACAACATGTCATATTCCCAACATCGCCGTTAACCAACATCGCCGTTAGTGCGGCCTCGATGTCATCAAGAAAGCCGCAGATCCCGGCGACTCAGTCTTCTCGAGCCAGTCAATTTCGCTCCATGTCGGGCCCCGGGAGCCTCACAGATCGATCCGGCTCGAAAAATAAAGCAGAAAGAGGGGGGGTCCAGGGGTCCGGCTGTGATTTTTTGCGATGCTGCAATTTTTTCTGCAACGTCGGATCTCCGGGGGGGGCCCTGAGGGAAGCGGGCCCTGGAGGTCTTGGGACAGTTTTGGCATCCGGGTCCTCCCTGGGCCCCTGGGACGGCCCGGGACC